AAACCGACACAACGTAGGATGATTTTTTGAAGGTGTACTATATTTCGGCTGGCCAAACCAGCCTTCTTCAGGTACAATGAGACCAGCTGCAAGCAATCTACAGTCGCATTTTTTTACCGGATTCCTTCGAGGATTATGTTTTTTCTAAACATACATGAATGCTTTAATTCGTATTTAAGAATGCCTTGATACGACATTTCGTTTTTTCTTTTTATCCTTATCCTTAGGACGAAGAAATGCAAGAGGCCAACAGAGAGGTATGAATGTAGATAACAGATTTTGAGCTCTGGATCAATGCAGAAAACAAGAGTGGTTGAGACTGAAAGAGTTAACCGCCATATAGGCCTTATTTTAAAGGCGACTCCTCTCAAGTCATTCTTAAATAACTTGAGAGGGATCGAGTAACCCTGGACCTACACGCATATGGAAGATAAACTCTCTTATCCTTCACTCTCTCTTGAAATAGATCAACTCCCAGCTCCCCACTCCCTTAAGAGACCAAGATGATTTTGCTCATTCAATCCTCTTTCTGGCGTTCAGTTAGTTGGGATGCAGCGCGAAAAAAAAAAGAAAAAAGAAAAAGAACGGTGGAGCAAAATAAAGAGAGAGGTTCGGTGTTCTCTCTCCTTCTTGCACAGGGCTTTTCCCGGCTAATTTCTCGTGCGCCTTTTTTCGTGCAGCGGCCCAACCAACTGAACGCCTGGAAGGGGCTAGGCTCATTCTGACGTGAGAGATATCTCTTCTCTTATAGCTATCTCGGCGTTCACGCGATATTTGCAGCGTGACTTCAAAGTTTGAAGAGCTTATTAAGCATAACAATTGTGGTTTGAAATATTGAAAATACAAAGTAGTAACGGAATAATGATCGTACCATTAATCATTTATGTGATGGCTATTCGGACAAAAAATCTTAAAATCAAATTATGATATAAATTGCATTTTGGATTTTAATATCATTTTATTCTCAGAGAGACGAGGCAACAGTCAGGAAGGAGGTAAATTCAAAAGCAACAGTTTTACATCAATTTAAACTTAGGCCACAGTAGAAGATGTGAAATAGTGATAAAATCAATAAATACCTAGATTTGTATAATTGATTAATTGATATAAGGTGGTATAGATGAAAGTGGACCATGCACTATTTGTACATGGAACTCAAGAAGCTTATCATAGATAGAATTGTACACCTCTCAAACTTTTAAATTGAGAATTTTCTGGTAGTTTTAAAAAGAAATAAAAGCCTTTTTCCAAGCTATGCCTTTTTAAACTCGTTCGCAAACGATCTTCATTAATTTCTTGAACAAAGTAATTTCTTCTTCTAATGCTTGGGATTCCACAGTTTTGTTTGAAGTTTTTCAGTTCTCTGCTGGTTTTTGTTTGTTTATTTATTTGTTTGTTTCATTTTAATGTCGTTTAATTAATTAATTCACCATCAAAGAGGCGCAAGGAAATTGTGAAGGATCTGGTGGTGAAGTATTTGCAAGATCGCTACTGTGGAAAAAGCGTAGCAGAAAGCAACAAGGAGGATAACACAGGCCTGAAAAACACAGATTTAACCGAGAGAGGAGGAAAACATCCCAAGAATATCGACGACAATATTAATCTCCTGAAAAGACTGGTGGATCGTCAGACCAAAGAACTTGCCGAACTTAGCAAGAAAATCGATAGTATAATTAAGTGACCATATATTGTCTCAATGTTGTGTGACAAACATTCGAATATTTGCTATTAATATTCATGGTAACCACTGCACATTATTTGAAGATAAGCTTAGCTTAATTTGCAGCGATTAACTAATTGTGACAAACAGGTTTCCCTGTTTTAACTATAAAACTACGTTTATTTGTAATACTTGAAATTTAGTACCATATTATGCAGGAAGCATTATTTATTTAGCTTTACAATAACAACTGGAACATCAAATAAACCCTAAGGAAAATTTTTTATATAATAACTGTTGTGCTAAAAATACAAAAAAGGAATAATTTCATGAATAACAAATAAAATAGGAAAATTGTCAGACGAAGATATACTTTTGCTCATCAGAGACAGTAATTTTTGTTTTTAGCAAAATTTAGGCTGTATTGTTCACGATATAATATTCTATTGTACTATTTAGTGGAAACATGTTATTAAACTGCGCTGAAAACTC